CACTTTGATATCTATGTACTATCTTGATGACAAATAAGTCTTTTGGAGGTCAGTATATGTGCTATTAAGACCACAAAGTAAAAAAAAAAACAGAATGATGATAATATCTTACTGTTGCCATAATATTGCCTTATATTTATTGAAGTACTGATAGAATGCATACACAAGAAGGTCTTAATATTAAAGATAATTTCTTTCTCTTCTCCCCCCCCCCCCCCCCCGCCCTTTTTCTCTTTGCATTCCTGCATTCATTTCATATTTAGGGTGAACTTATTCTTATCTCAAAAAATAAAAACATGGGCTGCACAAAATACAATAAAACTTGCAGATAAGTATAGCTGAAATATATTTTTCAATTTAATCTGCAAGTAAATTAAAATCTTACAAAATACTGTGAGTCACTGCATGAGCAGCTTTACATAAACGATTCAACATTTTTAGAATGGTGTGGGGTTTTGTACAAGAACTATTATTTTAAATTACAGTGTCACAGTCATGACGTAAAAGTATTAATAACGATGTGGTTTTGGTACTCTTTTGTTAACTTCCTTGTCCTCGGGGCTTCAGTTATTTGCCAGTGTTTATGTCGCTTTTCACCACACCTTTGTAACTGCTCAGACACGGAGTATATTTGACCATATATTGCACTTACACCAGTGACTTGATGAAAGAAAATATTTATATTAATAGATGTATAATTTATTAATTGACTTGCACAGTATAGCAGAGCCTACTAACAATGTACGTGCAGTGTATAATATAAAAGCAGTGTATGTCGATTACATCAGCAAACAGTTCAATTCCTTTATAGTTTGTAACAATTTCATAATTTATAAGTGAAAAAAAAACAGGCATTGTACCAGGTCAGGGGGTCCTACCCCCCCCCCCCCCACCCCCACTTTGATTTCTGAAAAAGGTGCACCAATGGCCCCCTCTTGAAATTAGAATTTTGACTAGCTGTATCATAGCCCCCTATCAAATAATTCTGGATCCGCCTTTGTTTCTAGGCTTAAAAATAAGTGGTTCTTGTGTAAGCATGTCTGTATTTGTATAGAGAAGACAACAATAAGACAAGATAAATAACAGATTATCATAATATCACCACTGATAGCTACTTTTGTGACAGTTTTGTAGTGTGATTCAACCCCCTCCCCCACATATTCTTTATCTCACTTTGTAACCTACCTGTCTAGATAAAAAAAGAAACAGGTAAGGCGGAAATTACCTTGGCTGGTAAATAGAAACATCTTTTATCATTATAATTAGTATTTTTGTCTCGTGTTGTCTTACCACAGGGTGTACTTACCTTGCCAAACAATGGCATCTCCTTTTTTCATTATTTAAAAAAATGTTTGTGGTTTTACAGCCCAATTCTTTCTGTCTGATACTTTAAAAAAATTTTGACATGCAACACCTTACTAACATTGTGGTTGATTGGCTCATCTGATGGTTAAAAATATATTTATCAGTACCAAGATATATTAAGCTGAACTCATCTGACATTCTTATTATTATTTATCATTATCTATTATCATTTATCTATCTCAGTACAAGTGCATTTAAGAATGCCTTTGACCCAACAAAATAATCTGAAACATTGATAATAAAATTACAAATTCATGCATTCATTATAAATGATTCACGATAATTCATTTTTTAAACAATAAACCACCTCTTCCCACTCTAACTCCCACAAGACACAACCCTCAGTAGTAAAATGATCCATTTTAGGGACATGCTTTTGTATTAGACCCCACCCCTTTGCCTCAGTAGTGTCATATCTTATATATCTTGACATATTTTTTATTTTAAAAAATTTCTCTTTGGCAAGGTGCAACAATGCCTGTTTATGATAATGACACAGTCTTGTTGAACCGGTTTAAAGATAAGTAGAATATGAAGGCAGGAACATAATGAATAATACTGAAGGGATTCACTAGTTTTATTATTTGTGTGTAGTCATGGGTGTTGCATGCGTCATAAATGTGGAAGCCAAAGTGCGCACTTAAAAAACAGTTAAGTGTACTTTGTGAAACAACCATGGTCGGTTTTTTATTTATTTATTTATTTATTTATTTATTTATTTATATATTGTTATTATTAAATATAAAATACTTCAGTCAAATTGTCTGATGCCTGTGTTTTATAAATGATGCTTGACATTGCTAACTCAGTGGCGGATTTAGGGGGTGACAGGGGGGTCCTGACCCCCCCCCCCCCTTTTCGGTTTCTGAAATTTAGACTTTTGACTAGCTGAATTATAGTTTAAAACCCTATCGAACGGCACCGTACGCCCTCCAAAACATCAATTTTTTTTTCGGGGCTCTTCAGCGGGCCCCTAACCCCACTCCAAAATGACGAGGGTCGGTTTTACATCCTAGGCCCTTGATTCCCAATACCGGTCGCCGCCCCCTTCAAATAGTCCTGGATCGGCCCCTGGTTAACTGTGTCTTTCATATTTACCCACCCGTTTGCATACAACCTCCCTGTAATTTCGGCTTTGAAATTATCGCTCTTTGCGACATCATGTCTATATTGTAGTTCATCCATATTTTCAATATCTTGGTCTTCCAAACTCATACCTTCACATCCGTTGTCACTGTAATGTTATAATTTCATTATAGTTATCAACATATTTTGTGATTGTGTGTATATATGGCATCTAAATCTTTCTCTCTTTTAACCAAAGTTAACATGTTAATGATCTTTTTTTTTCTACTGGTCATTTACATCTATCTGCACGTTTTGTTAAACCTTTTCATCTCCTTTGGGGAATCCAACCGAAAGTCTGAAACTGTGACACCGCATGGATAGCCCTTCATACATTGATACCTGTGCTTTCATGACTAGGCACACTAGCTCCATTTGTCCCTGCTTCAACCTTTAAAATTGATGTCATTGGACTTGACGGTTTATCGTACCTAACGAGCGACCCCCCCCCCTTCTCTCTCTCTCCCCCTTCCCGCCCCAACACGCACACACACACACACAAATATGCAAGACATATTACCTCCGCCAAGGAGGTTATGTTTTCACCCCTGTTTGTTTGTTTGTTTGTTTGTTTGTTCGTCATCAACATAACTCAAAAAGTTATGGACCAATTTTGATGAAATTTTCAGGAACTGTCAGAAGTGGGCCAAGGAAGAGATGGTTAGTTTTTGGTGGTGATAAGGATCAATAATCAATCAATAATCAATAATAATAAAAAATTACTGCCTTGGCGAAGGTCTGCGCTCTCGGAGTGCTTTTCTAGTTATCAATATGACCCCCCCCCGACCCAGGGAATGTGCGTGTTTGTAATAATTAACATAACTGTTAAAGTAATGAGATTTTTCAAATATTTGGAGGGGATGTAAAATGACATAGGGATAGCATGCGTGCACTACTTAAGATGGAAAATATTTCTTTGTATCAGATCAGGGAACGGTTTAACAAACGCTCTTTAGTCCAAAAATTTGGTCTGAAGTTTTAGACCAAAATTTTGGCCTAATTCAGTTTAAGATAGATGTAAAACAGTTGAACTGAATAAAGTAAGCTCAGGTCGGAAACGTAAGCTTTTTATTATAAAACAGTTACAATATTTCATTTAGTCGGACCAAAAGTGATATAGCTTGGGTCATAATTGACCAGAATTTTCGTCTAAAATAGAAATTAATTTGTGCAACAAGCCCCAAGTTAATAATAACAAAAACATCAAAATTCCGATTATAACAACTCAAAAATTATCTGCAAATTAGTTTAAGTTTACTGTATTCTACTTCATACAGCTGTATAGTAGCTCGTGGCCACAAAAAAATTTAGACTCAGTAGCTGAGGCATTATATCTATGTTTTGTACGTAATAATTATAAAATATTATAAATCAAGAAACGCAATGGCAGCTTAAGGCGTCTAGAAGTTGCATGTGTAATGTTTATGATAAACTGATTAAGCAGTCTTCTCTGGCACTCTTAGACTCTTCTCTCGGTCATTTTATGACCTGTATCAGGTGAATATCTCCCTAGGTTATTGTTATTTTTATCTATAAATTAGTACTTGCCGTCATGGACTCACCGACCACCTTGTATTTCTTGGCTACACACACGCTGAGATGATGAGAGTTTGGAAACAGTGAAATGTAAATTTGGCATAAACTGTTTACAAAAAAATACGATGAAAGTTGTTCAGAAAGTTCTCATGCATCCTAAATGTTATTGAATGTGGCCACTTATCAGTTCAAATTCATTCATTAATCGGATAGAGGGCCCGGCAGTATGGAAGCATCGTCCTAGAGCCAAAAATACACCTGATACCGACATATTGTATCTAAATTGTCATCTAAATTGTCATTTTATTTAAAACGTTGCGTGGCTGTCATACAAATTCTAGCTTTTAAATGATGGAGGCAACATCATGTGCTTTAAAAATAGTGTGTAATTTTTTTGAATTTTTGTTGATAGTTGTTGAGAAATTAACATTTAAAATTTGGATTTTTTTATTCCCTTTACCAAATATATGTGTCAATTGCTTCACTTAGTCCGTTTTCATCTTTTGTAGTGTTTATCAATTTTAGAACAGAGATTACACAATGGATACTTTTAGACATATGATTTAGAGTAGGCTAATTAAGGGCGATACTTTTGTTCATCTTTCACTGGTATTGCATACACAGCTCAACCGCACATATTTCAAAACCCGTAATGTTTAAGTTACAATAAACATTTGAAATACAGTGAAATCGATAAAGATTTCATACGAAATCACCAGTTTTGGGTTCGAGAAAGAGGTGAATAGGAAAATGATTCACCCTAAAAATAGTGCACCAATCTTCTAGACCTATTAACGAATAACTGTCTTTTTTTGTCTTCAGACTACTGTGACAATACTTCAGATTTAAGTAAAAAATACTTTTTTGTATCAAGACGATGCTTTGATCGCGCATTTCTTCTAGCAATGAGAGAAACAAAGAGAATAAAAAAGTTAAGGCAACAGATATATTAATCCTTTTTTTACTTTCTTCAGGATGGAGAGACTGTGGAGGTTTCCTCCCTGGTGACAGAGGGAGATGAGAATAAAGAGCGAGGAAACTGGGGCGGCAAGCTCGACTTCATCCTCTCCTGTATTGGGTATGCCGTGGGCTTGGGTAATGTGTGGCGATTCCCTTTCTTGGCCTACAGGAGTGGCGGAGGTGAGTACACGGTTGTCAGGGGAGGGGGGGGGGTCCTGACAACCCCCCCTTCGGTTTTCGAAAAATATATCACACCAATATTCCTTTCTTGAAATTAGAATTTTGAGTAGCTAAATCATAGTTCTTAACCGTACCAAAGGGCACTGTTTGCTCTCCAAATAAACAAAAAATGTTCGGGGCCCTTGAGCAGGCGCCGAACCCCACACCAAAGGGGCGATGGTCGGCTTCGCATCCGAGGCCTGTCGTTCTGGACTCCCCCCCCCCCCTTTCAAATAATCCTGGATCCGCCCCTGAGTACGCATATGGGGAGACCAAAGGAAAAGGGGGCATTTTTTCCAGATACTTTTAGCCCTCATAAAATGAATTTAAATGCAACTCAGTAAAGTGAGTGACTTATTGCGAGCATTTCTAACCTGATGTTGCTTACCCCTGCCACATGACTTTTAATTAAGATACCCCAGATTCCCCAGTGACATATAGGCCTACCTACACGTCCACTTGAAAAAAAAAACCGTTCATGCACTGTGGAGTGTAGTATGAGTTTGCATGTTTCCAAGCGCATATCAAGCAAAACCAATGCATTGCAGTCACATCGATATAGGCCAACACACGCACGCGTGTATAGGTAATAGACAGCAGGTTCATGTGGTGTCATTGAATCTGCATCGCTCAAGTATTTTCTTCCCATCAGTGATCAAATGGCAATGATGGTTGAACAATAAAAATTCTTTCCATTAAACAAAAAAAAAATCTAGTCTGCAGCGGACATAATGTATGTATGTGCACACTTTCATGTTTACACAAACACACAGCTTTGTTGTGTGTACAAAAACATGCAGGTTTATAGGGGAAGAAGAGAACCCATGTAAATTTAACACTCCTTTTACAAATGTTATTTTGTCTGCTTAATCTTAGATAGCTATAGAAGATGTTTGTACACCAGATTGCAATGATGTAAGGATATTTGTAGCATTTGAGACATTCTATTATGATTGCCACGTTTTTCAAGTGAAAGAAATAACTATTTCAAATGATAATTATAATACTAATTTTACTGAACCCTAATTTTTTTTATGCTTCAATTGACAACGCACTTTGAATTGTTTTCTATCTTACTTTCCATGCAGGTATCCTCAGGGCATGCTCTACTTGTTACTTGACCATCAATTTTACAGAGCAGTGACCCATACATTGGTTGTTATATCATTTTTTCTTTGTAATATTTGGGTTCGTCCTTACTGGCAGTAATAAACACCCTTAGCCAGGGCTGCATTGTGATTTCTTTTCTTCCGCATCTAATACTATTACAATTTGGTAGAGAGATAAGATGTTGAAGAAGGCATGCTGTTTGGATAGGTACACAACTGTTACTCTCCAGTAAATATGAATGTTGTCTATTTAATGTATTGATGGTGTGAGAAATGTGTTTTTTGGTGCAGGAAATTGGCTGAATTTAATTCCAAATTCAGTTGAAAAACAGAGGTGGAGAAATGAGTGCATTTGGAATGGAAAACTTCTTTGTTCATCTCTTATTATTATTATTAATTTTTTTTTTTTTTTTTTTGTGAAAATCTCAGAAAAGGTATATATGCATTATGTGTATTTTTACAGCATATGCATTCGAAAAGATGAGAAATAAATAAAAGATTGAAGACATATATGTCTTATCAATTTTATTTTATTATCAAAAGTAATACTTTTATTGCCATTTACATTATCACGTTGTGCCAATCTCTAAAAAAAGTCAAGTATTACTACAACTTAAACAGGCCCGTAGCCAGGGGGAGTTCGGGGGTTCGAAAGAACCCCCCTTTTTGCTGAAAAAAGGTCCACTCTGGGTAAAATTTGACATAAGTACATGAGGATTTTTCGGTAAAAGGTCCACTTTTTCAGAAAAAATACCCCCCTCCCCTTTGAAATTGCTGGCTACGGGCCTGTTAAATATGCACAAGCAGCACTACTGAATCCATTTTTTTTTAAAATGCCTATTCATTTTTTAGGTGCCTTTCTCATTCCGTATGCCATTATGTTGTTTTGTGCTGGATTACCCTTGTTTTTCTTGGAGTTGTCCTTTGGTCAGTTTGCATCTCTTGGACCCATCACCATTTGGAGAATAAACCCATTCTTCAAAGGTAAGAGTTTATATTAATAAGTAGTATTCAATATAATAAAAGTACTAATTGAAAAATAAGTATTTTGTAAAAAAATAAAATAAATAAATAAAAAAGGAACAAGAAAATAGTAAAAAATACATATGATTTCAAGAAAAGGATGCCATTTTTTTTTTTTTTTATTCAGGTATAATTTTAAGTGTTGCATTTAAGTTTAAGTTTTTTGACAATAGCTTCATCAAAACCATAGGATTTGGATAATTTGCACTAGTGAAGTTATCTAATATATCAGTATTCTTTGATGATAAACATATTTCCTCTCTGTTTCAGGTTTGGGATTTGCTATGGTGATCATCAGTGGCCTGGTGGCAGTCTATTACAACGTCATCATTGCCTGGGCACTGTTCTACTTATTTGCGTCGTTCACGTCTGAGCTGCCATGGCAGACCTGTGACCATGAGTGGAACACCCCGAATTGTGTAACCAAGTTCAAAGGCGGCAATGGCTCAGAAGCTTCATCACGCTTTGGAATAGGTATACAGATTTATCTGATATGATAAGACATAATTGAAGATGTACAGACATGATAAAGCTAACTGTATGTTTTATGCACATTTCCATCGACCTCATATTGAAATGCCTAAAAAGATTGTAAAATCTATAGATTTTTCCCTTTAATGATGGACCAGCTATTACCAGGAGTGATAAATATTTGCATGATATTCAATTTGTGCATTTTGCATCCCTCTTCAACAATTTTTAAGTGTTTAAAAACACAAAAACATTTTCAAAGATTTCATATATATTTTTTATTGCAGTTACATGGTGTAATGCCACACTTAATGTCACCAGCAACTGCACCGTGTACAAGCCAGTCACCCCTAGTGAAGAGTATTGGGAGTAAGTTAAACAATTTATTAATACTGACAGACATGTACATTTACCAACTTAGGTA